CAGGAGCATCGATCGTAGTAGTGACAGCCGCAGTCTCAGTAGCGACCGGGTTGGTGGCATCATAATCATCCTTGTCTCTACTGCGAGCTTCCCCGGCTGCCGTCGTGATGGTGACCCCGTCAGTCACAGGGGCTGCAGTAGTAGCAACAACCTGATCGGTCACAGCAGCTGTGTTGGCCGGTTGAGGGGTCGTGATAGTAGTAGTGGGCTCAACAGGAGCATCGATCCTAGTGGTAGTCGCAGTCTCAGTAGCGACCGGGGTGGTAGCATCAGAATCATCCTTATCTCTTCCCGGAGCTTCCCCAGCTGCCGTGGTGATAGTCACCTCGCCAGTCACAGGAGCCGCAGTAGTGACAGCGACCTCATCGGTCACAGCAGCTGTGCTGACCGGTAGAGGGGACGTCGTAATAGTAGGCTCAACAGAAGCACTGATCGTGGTAGCCACAGTGGCAGTCTCAGTAGCGATCGGGGTGGTAGCATCAGAATCATCCTTGTCTCTACCGGGAGCTTCCCCAGCTGCCGTGGTAATGGTGACCTCGCCAGTCACAGGAGCTGCAGTAGTATCAACAATCTTATCGGTCACAGCAGCTGTGCTGACCGGGAAAGGAGACGTTATAGTAGTAGTAGGCTCAACAGGAGCACCGATCGTAGTCGTGACAGTCGCAACCTCCGTAGCGACCTGGGTGGTAGCATCAGAGTCATCCTTGTCTCTTCCCGGAGCTTCCCCAGCTGCCGTGGTGATAGTCACCTCGCCAGTCACAGGAGCCGCAGTAGTGACAGCGACCTCATCGGTCACAGCGGGTGTACTGACCGGTAGAGGGGACGTCATAATAGTAGTAGGCTCAACAGAAGCACTGATCGTGGTAGCCACAGTCGCAGTCTCAGTAGCGATCGGGGTGGTAGCATCAGAATCATCCTTGTCTCTACCGGGAGCTTCCCCAGCTGCCGTGGTGATGGTGACTTCGCCAGTCACAGGAGCTGCAGTAGTATCAACAATCTCATCGGTCACAGCAGCTGTGCTGACCGGAAGAGGGGACGTTATAGTAGTAGTAGGCTCAACAGGAGCACCGATCGTAGTCGTGACAGTCGCAGCCTCCGTAGCGACCTGGGTGGTAGCATCAGAGTCATCCTTGTCTCTACCGGGAGCCTCCCCAGGTGCCGTGCTGATGGTCACTTCGCCAGTCACTGGAGGTGCAGTAGTGACAGCCACCTCGTCGGTCACAGCGGGCGTACTGACCGGTTGAGGGGACGTCATGATGGTAGTAGGATCAGCAGGAGCATCGATCGTAGTAGTGCCAGCCGCAGTCTCGGTAGCGACCGAGGTGGTTGCATCAGAATCATCCTTGTCTCTTCCCGGAGCTTCCCCAGCTGCCGTGGTGATAGTCATCTCGTCAGTGACAGGAGCTGCAGTAGTGACAGCGGCCTCATCGGTCACAGCAGCTGTGCTGAC